TGATCTTCTTAGGACTTCCCTAACAGCCAATCCTAGGAAGACTTTGGGAAATGCAGGAAGGTAATCTGGTATCACTCATTGTTAAGCTCTTCTTTTGGTGCATTTCTTATTCCTCTGCTTCTTAAAATAGACCCCCCCAAAAATTAATCAACAATAAACAAATACTTGTGAAAACGAATAATCCAAGGAAATTGTCAAATTCCAACTGGTAAAGACATTTGGGGTTTGGGACTTTGCACAAAAAGCCTTTTAAAGGGAATGATATAGTTTGTACCTTGAACTCTACCTAGAGAGAAAACTTCCAAGATAGAGGAGAAAGTTGAATAGTTACACAGTGGTAACTATTCAGAGGTCAGCTTAAGCTGTTTCTTACTGTCACTTTCCCCAGCTCCTTATTCAGTTACATCACAGTGATGGCACTAAATCATCATTGGTAGGTGGATATGCACCATGGAAATTGGAAAGTGCTTTTTCTTCCCAGAGAGCCAGTTGTTAATACTGACTAATATACCAAGGTGGTAAAGGAAGCAGAAGACAAAGATAGAGATGGCAAGTAACAGGCTATTCTGGAGTTAGACCTAGGCTCAGGTCAGGTTGTGTAGAATCTTATAATACAGACTAAGGAATTTTGTCTTTATTTATAGATATTGAGGAGCTAATGACATTTTAATAGTTGAAATATCTTTGGTTATAATAATAGAAAATTCAATTCAAATGACTTAATAAGTAAGATATATTAGCTCATATATAAAAACTTCAAGTAGGAACACTCCAATGTTGGTTAAATCAGTCATTTACCCAAATTCTTTAATTTTTTCTCTGCTATCTTTAGAATATCTGCTAGTCAATACAATAGTTCCAAATACAATATTCAACAGCAGGGAAAAATTATTCATTCTATCTCTTTGCAAGAACTAAGTTATTTTCCCAAAAAATACTTCCTTGCTTCTCACATTGGTCAGAATTCCATCACCTGCCTAAACAAAGCACTGGTGATTGTTATGGAATCCCATGATCCACCAGTGTTCCACCAGGATCTCTCCTACTCAGTCCCCACCCCCTCCACTGGAAGCTCTCCTTTGAAGCTCAGAGCCACACAGAGATGGATGGCTATTAATCAAGGCTCTATGAGCAAGGAGGAAAGAGATGGGCATCAGTTAAGTGACCAATATGTCTGCAATACTTTGGCAAAGAGGGAAGATCAATAGGTTATAATAGGAGGTATGATGCAGCATTGATGTGTAAGCAGACAGGAGGTCTGAGAACAGAGAGATACAATTACACTCTTCTTTTGGACAGGGTCTTGCTTTGCAGTTCAGGCTGGCCTTGAACTTGCAATTCTTCTGCCTCAGCCTCCTGAGTACTAGAATGTAGTCACATGCCACTATACTAGGCTTCTTTTACACATTTATAATGATAATCTAACAAAACAATGGTCCTCAACTGCCAATTGGCTACCAATTCAATTACTATTGAATGAATGATACCACAGGTCAAACAGTATACTAGTTATTATAATATACATATTAGAAGTGGTGAGGTTTACTTCATGGAGCTTTAGAATCTAATGGGTAAAGCAAATATCAGATGAGTCACTAATAAATATAATTTTTAAACTTGCTTAAGTTTTTATAAGGAATTCTGTATTATTTTTTTGAATCAAAAATAAATTCACCTAGAGCAATCTTAAATATACAATTTGACATACATGAGTAACAGCTACTTTTTAGCAAGATAAAAAACATTTCTATCACTTCAGAAAGTTCCCTTGCATCCCTTTCTATTCAATCTCTTCTTCTCCTTCAGTAGATAACCATGGCTGATATCTGTTGTCAAGATTTCTTTAGCTTGTTCTTGAATTTGAATTTCATTTAAATACCTTTTTTCCCCCTCAACAAATTATTTCTGCATGCATGTGAAATAAGCCCAGGGCCTTGTGCATCTCAGACAAGGGCTCTACAATTGAATTATACTACCAGTCTTCAAGAGATGATTTTGCGATTCATTCATATTATTGTGTTTAAAGGTGGCTTATTTCATTAAAAAAATTATATGATATGAATATAGGCATCAACTTTTTGTTGTGGTCATTTGGAATATTCCCATTTGGTGGTCATCATAAATGAAGTTATTGTGAGCTAAATATTCATGCATAAGTTTTTCACAGACATGTATTTTCATCTCTAGTATGTAAATATCTAAGAGTAGAATTTTTGGGTGATAGAGCAGGAATGTGTTTAACTTAGAAAAAGTCCTGGATTTTTTTTTTTTTTCTTTTTTTGGTCTTTTTTGAGACAGGGTCTCCCTATAGCCCCAGCTGGCCTGGAACTCACTATGTAGACTGGGCTGGCCTTGAACTCACAGAGATCCGCCTGCCTCTGCCTTCCCAGTACTGGGATTAGAGGCGTGCGCCACTACGCCTGGCTATAGTCCTTGGTATTTTTAAAAAATATATAGATTTATGGTCTTTAGTCCTAAGGATTCTGAGTTAGTCTAACATTCCTAAGCGTGTACAACGCATAGTTGTTAAAACTCCTTAGAACCACTGGTCTAACTTATAGTAGTGCTGGTAGAAAGGAAGTTATTTTGGTTTGGTTTTCTTTCCACCACAAAAGCATATAAAAGCAAATAATTTCTCCTTTTTCTTCCTGGTGAGCTGCAAAATAGCTTTCTCTGAAATTTTCCCTGCACTATATCCATCGGCCCTATGTTCAGTCTCCCTTTAAGGAGATTTGGTGAAATGCAAGCTTTTAGCTCAGGGAGCTTCTTGAACCTTAGAATCACTAGAATGAGCAAACAAAAACAGGTTATGAGAATGGAAAGGAACACTGAACTGAACAGATGAGGGTGTGTGGCCTTATGTACATGGGTAGGGTTTTCTTTGATGCCTTTCCATCCTTTCCTTACTATTCTGCCAAGCAGCAAAAAAAAAAAAAAAAGTTAATCAGCTGTGTTCAAGCTGCTGTGGCTGTTTCTATCAGACTGTCTTGCTTCTGAGGATCTAACATAGTGACAGTGACAGCACATCGAGAGAGAAGTTCCTAGTTCCTAGTTTATGGGCAGAGAAACTAACACAGGAATGGAAAGGGAGTCACTTCATGGATTAGGGGCTGGCTGAGCTGGGATGAGAACCCAGGTGGCCTGGCTTCCAGCCCAGCAGCCCACATTGCTACCCACACAGCCTGAGCTGACCAAAGACAAGCTGCCCATTGAGCAATTGCACAAACAACAATGGCTGATGGATGGTCAGAGTAAGAAACAGGCACAAAACAACTGCAACCCCATCACTTCCTGGTCCCTAAATTTCCAGGCAGGCCTATGATGTGTGGTCACTCAAATGGTTTTGACCAGCAACTTGGCTCAGCTTTTGAATCTTGAAACTTTTTGCAATCACTGCCAAAAGAAAAAGTCTGCCTTATTCTGAGAATGAAGAGTGACTTTGAACTCCATACCTGGTCCTAAAGAGTCTGTGAGAGTGTGTTAGGCATAGACAGGCATAATTAATAGATGAACATAACTTGGACCCGGAGGCCTTGGTGAAAACGGCTTTCAGTTTTTGAGGCTCCTCACTTACAGTTCTGCCCTCCTGCCTCAGACTTATGGGCCTGATCCATGGAGTTCAAATAGAATCAACATAAGTTACCAAATATCATTCTAGTCTCAAGTTTGCCACTAAACAGTGGCCAATATTTGTAGTATTTGAATCTTTGAAGCTTTGACCAAAGGGCTCTGTTAACTCCCATCTGTAAGTTCTGAGGTGTCCTACAAAAGGAACTCTGACCTGCTTAGCTATGCCTATATGGCCCTAGGCTGCCCTAAACCTTCAACTCTAAGGATATCCCCTAAGAGATACAGCTGTCTAAGAAGTTTCCTGTTTCGGGTGTCAGTTTCCTTTTTAATTGGATAATTCTATACTCCTCCCCACCCCCTTTAGAAACTGAGAGCTTCAGAAAACAGTGAGGAAAATCAAGTCGATTATAATTGTTTTTACATAGGCCTAGTGAACGTAATTTTGATCAAAAACACTAATTTGAATATGCAGACTGGGCATCACAATGTTAGGGATTTGAATTAAAATTTAGAATTCTTTTGGTTAGATGACAGCAGAGGCTGGCTCCATTTTGTTCATAATAAAGTGGCTCTTCTTAAATAGTCCATCTTCTTTAACAAATAGAGAAGGTCTAAGTATCTGGGATGGCTTATTTGCCTTCCAGCCAAAGCTCACTGTGACCCACAGGACACATGTGTGAGTTCTGCCTTATATAAAATAGTCTCATGTATTTTGATATTAAGCACTGATGCCCGAGATTTATATCTTGTTAATTTTTGTATTCCCAGTATTACTGAACAGAGCCCTGCACATAGCAGGGAGGGACTCAGTAACTATTTGAGTTAAATTATGCTGTAATGTTGTAAAAGGCATTAACAAGAGTGCTAAATAACTTTTGTTAACTATGTCAACAGACTAAGGTAGAGTGCTGTAGAGTCATTGTTATGCAAGTAACTATTAAGTGTGCAAAGACACGGGGTTGCTCAGTTAAGAGTTAAGGAACACGAGCGCATAACTGGGTGAAAACTGGTTTGTAGGAAGCCTTGTTAATTTTCCCCTTGGCGATCCAGAAAGATTTCGTGGAGTAACCGGAATTTCAGTCTTCTGATTCTCAAGTATTTTCATCCTTCTCACCTTTACAGTACTACTCCCGTTTCTGTTTCTTCCCAAACGGCGGGAGCCAACCGGTTCGACCCCAAAATCTTAAGCGTCCACCCTGAGCCCCCCAGCCTGGGTTCAAGAACGCTTCGGCCCAGGGGCTTCAGGGGCGGGAGCTAGGAACGCACCGGGTCACGCGCGCGGCAAGCGCCACACTGGCCGCTGCCCCGGAGCCGTGCTGAGGGCGGGGCGCTGCGGGGCTGTAGCGGGGCGGGGCTGGGCGGGGCCGACGGGGCCGGCCTGGGAGGCCTGGGGGCTGCTAGGGTGTCACCACCAACCGGCTCCGGCCGGAAACTGGTGCTTGTTTCCGGCCGGACGCCAGAAAGCCACCGATCCTGAGCCAGCCGCCGGAGTCAGAGCGGCGACCCGGCGTAGAGCAGGCGAAAAGCCACTGGGGAGAGGCCAACCCCGACCAGTCCCGCCTGGCTCCAGCTCCAGATCCTGTTGGGAGCAGCAGCCGCGGTCGCAGTGTCCGCCTCCGCCTCCGCCTCCATTGTCGTCGGGGGAGGGGCCGCTCGGACCCCGGGGTCACTGCCGAGGAATGAGGAGAGGCAGCCGGGCCCCGCGCTCCGCCCCGGCCTAGGGCCTTGCCCCGAAAGTCGCGAGGGTAACGGAGCCCCCAGCCCTGACACCCTCCCCGTCTGCCCCCGCCTCTCCCGCCTCTCCAGAGTCCCAAACTCTCGCCTCTGAGCTCCACTACTCCTGCTTTCTGATTAGACTTCACCTGAAGCCATCTCCCCTCAGCACCCGCTCCCCGCCCGGGTGCTCCTTGCTTGGTCCCCACCATCCCCCTTGACTCCTGCCTTTCACCTGCGTCCCGCGCTCCCAGCCCTGCTCGGCAGTTCCTGGTCTCTCTGAGATGTGCTGGGCAGTTTGGAAGTCCCCTTTGCCCCCTAGACTTTTGGGGAGGTGTGGAGGAGGTTTAGGGTGGTCAAAATGCAGCTACTACCCTCTCTCATAGTAGGATAAAGTTCTTTTAAAGTCATTATAAAAGTAAAATGAAAAGTTTGTGCTCCTTATAGTCAAAGCTGAGGTGCTCCAGTAATGGAGGAAGGGAGCGAAGTAAGTGTGTGTGTGTGTGTGTGTGTGTGTGTGTGTGTGTAGGTGTGTAGGTGTGTAGGTGTGTAGAGATTCGGGGGCAGGCTTTAGAAAAAGAAAAGTTGCTATGAGCCGATGGAAACTTTAGAAGCTGCTGATGAGCAAGCCGGGGGCTGCGTGATCTCACTCTTCTCATAATTACTAGGTTAACGGTGTGGCTCCGGTCGAGATGGAATGGGATTTGTTTACTGGGCCGGCGTATTTTTAGCTTGTCGGCTCACAAGGACCAGCTCGGAGTTTGCCTCTCTTTTCTCGTGGTAGTGCGTGTATCTAACCAAGGTGTCTGCCTCTGGGCACGATACACATGTAAAAATTGAGACGTTGAATGAAGCTGGTGACATTTTGTGTAAAAGGTTATCCCCCAAACTTCTTAGGGAATTTTCATGAATGCAGAGCCAAGAATGAACTTGACTTTGACTTTTATTTTCCTTATCTTTTTGTGAGTACTACAGAAAATGTTTTATTTAGTAAACCAGAAGACGGTAGTTTTTTAGCCTTTGGCTTTTCCTACTACATATTTAGGAGGGTTTTGAAGAGGCTGGATCCTTTCGTCCTTCAAAACCTGTTAAAAAGGTGTAGAGAGAAACGGTGGTGCCAAGACTGGTCCAAGAGTGTAGCTAATCTCTTTCATTTTCTATATTGCATAACTTTAAAAAACATGAAGAAAATTCCTTTCTTAGTAAATGAGATTCCACTTCTGAAGGGGTGGAGAAATCTGCAGGGACTTGGGCTGAGTGGCCAGGGAGAATCAGACTTGTAGTTCAGTGTTTACTGTGCATAATTTACAAATGAATTCGTTCTAGGTGAACAATGAAGAATTATCTTCTTTGCCCTCATTGTTTTCAAGTTGGTCTTTGAACAGTTAGTAACCTGCTGTGTTAGTCTGTTGATGTTTGTAGACTGAATGGAACTGTAAAATAATGAAATTGATGTTCCTTTTGCACAGTGCTGAATAGTAGTCTGTTCTAATTTTCACTAGTGAATTGGCATGCTTCAGAGCACCTTCCCAACAAACTAGCCGGTTTCTATGTACATAGAAATTGCAAATGAATATAAATAGTAGCTCATGCTAGGATAATTGAGAAGGTAAATATGCTGAAAACATGTATTCCAAAAACCAAAACAGATTTTTTTCAATTTTCCCTATCATTTCGGATTATCAGCACCTTTCTGTCAATTATCTATTAACATGAATAATTTAGAATTGAAAAGATATCTGCTTTGGATGTTACACATTCAAGCAGGAAATAAAGGTGGAAGGTAGTTTCCAAACTATTACCAATTTTTTGGGGGGTGGGAGATCTGATTTGGCTCATCCTTTTCATTTAGTACCAATGACTCCATGAAGGAGAAAAAAAAAGTAAAATTTTACCAAAGAAAGGCCAGTTGAACCAGGCATGGTGGCGCACGCCTTTAATCCCAGCACTCAGGAGGCAGAGGCAGGTGGATCTCTGTGAGTTCAAGGCCAGCCTGGTCTACGTAGTGAGTTCCAGGACAGCTGGGGCTACAGGGAGACCCTGTCTCAAAAAACAAACAAACAAACAAACAAACAAACAAAAAAAACAACCAAAGAAAAGGCTGTCTGATGACTTGTATAAAGCAGGATGACCATTAATGAATAATTATTAGTTGTACTTTTGGTAAGTTATGTTACTAACTTGGAAATGTTCTTCAAATAATTGCTTTATCTCTCTTTCCCTCCCTCTTCTCCTTTGACCTGTTAGTGAAAAAATAATTTGGAGTCTAAAATCAGATTTTTTTTTTTTTTCGGTCTTTTTGAGACAGGGTCTCCCTATAGCCTCATCTGGCCTGGACCTTACTATGTAGACCAGGTTGGCTTTGAACTCACAGAGATCCACCTGCCTCTGCATCCTCCCAAGTGCTGGGACTGAATGCCTGGCTAAAGTCAGAGTTTTAAAAAATCACATATGTCCTCTCAGAGTCTTGACTGTTAATAGTTGTTTTAGTCTAGGGAGTCGGTTGGTGCCAATAGGAGTAATGATATCTCTATTTAATTTCCTTTTGTTGAGCTGTACATATTCACTGGGTGGAGATTGAAGAGTTTGAGTTTGAATAGACCTAGAATATAGAACAAAGCAGCCCATTAGACCACCATTATTCTCAGTTCTGAGAACTTTTTTTTTTTAAATAAATTTGAGATCCATTGTATATAGCCAAGCGAATTATGATAGAATAATTTGGTATTAAAAATGAGTGCTTGTGCATGCCTTTAATCCCAGCACTTGGGAGGGGCAAGCAGGGGGATCTCTGAGTTTGAGGCCAGCCTGATCTACATAGTAGGTTCCTGGACAGCTAAAGCTACAGGGAGACCCGCTCTCAAAAAGACCAAAATATAAAAATAAAAAAAATAAAAATGATTGTTCACAGTGTTGGGGGTTATTCACTGTGTTATGTACTGTTTGTTAAAGCTTTGGTGCTCCCAAATGTCTCAAGTGGCAGAAGCCATTAGAGAGAGAGAGAGAGAGAGAGAGAGAGAGAGAGAGAGAGAGAGAGTATGTCTAAGAGAGTGCCCCTCTTCCTACCCCAAACATTTATCCCATCAAGGGGAAAATTCTCAAACAGTGCTTGGAAATATGATCTCAGCAATACCTTTCCTATGGAACTTAAGAACTGTGAAATGGCAGACTGAAATCTTAGTAGCTCCTGATAAATTCAGATACTTATAATTTTGTGCAGGGCAGTTTCATCATGAATTCCTGAATACAGTTGACTTTTTAATGTGACAGAAGAGAGGACTTATTTAAAAAAAAAAAAAAAAAAAAAAAAAAACGGGGTTCTGGGGGCTTTCCCAGCACTTGGGAGGCAGAGGTAGGCAGATCTCTGTGAGTTCGAGGTCACCCTGGTCTACATAGTGAGTCTCAAGACAGCTAGGGCTACAGGGAGACCCTGTCTCAAAAAGACAAAAAAAAAAATCCTTCCTGAATAATGATTGAGCACTCCTATGGATAAAGCAACCTCCAAGCTCTAGTGGTAGTCTTTGGGGAGAAACAAAAGATAGGAAACAGGTGTCTTTTCCAATGGAGTTGGGGATGAGAGGGTGGAGGGGTGGGTGATACTTGGGACGTGGAACAGGGCATAGGAGGACACTGGCATATAAATGGGGAGAAGCTTTAGCACTTAGACACATATAGGAAACTGTCTAAACAAAACCAAGTTTACTGTGCTACCAGTGGAGTATGTGTGGGCTGAGAAAACTTGAAGTAACTGGGAATTAGTGAGGTTCAACTTAGGGATGTTTCTCAATCAGTAACTTTTGAAATGGACTCTGGAGACTATGGATTAGTCATACAGAAATAATGGCCGATGATAATTAGATGGACCTTGGTTCATTTTACTATGTGACCTTGGACAGATTACTTCTCTGTCATTGCCTATAAAATAAGTATGCATATTCAAGTAAATGAAAAATGTTTTCTGTGTTAGGAATAAAAGAAAATGATTTCCCGGGAGGTAGAATGGGAATGTAGCTCAGGTTCTCCTAGCACTGCATACACTGGGAGTGGGGATGCATATGTGTAATCCCGGCATTTGGGTGGTTTTAAGGTCAGTGTCATCCTATACAGTGAGTTCAAAGCCAGCCTGGGATTTGTGAAACCTGGACTCAAAAATAAAACAAAACTCGCCCAAATCAAACCCAAAGCCAAAAAACAAAAGCAAAAGGATTTTCCAAATAAAGCATAAAATGTACAGTGTACAGTGATGGTAGTATGAATGGCTAAGTTGTATGTGAGAGTGACTGGAGAGAATGTGGGTTGGTCAAGAAATGGGTAGCAAGAGGGTGGAGGGGACTCAGAAGCCAGACTGTTGGATGTTGATAGGAGGGTCAATAGAGTCATTGTAGGGCCTTAAACAAAGGATGGATTTAATGAGAAGCATTGAACCCTTTGGTTCAGGAACTCGGGGACAAGGAGGCAGGCAGGAACCAGTACATTGTGACTCTGCTGCTTTTCTGTACCATCCTGGCCTGAGGAGAAATAGCCAATAGATGTAAAATTCCTTATAGAAGTTTTTGTATTTTCATACCTTGCTGTCCTGAGCTCTGCTTGTCCCTTTTTCATAGTGCACCAACCTGTGGAGAAATTGCAAGACTATGACAGTGTTCTCAAAAGCTTGGGGTAAGAATGACATGTTTCAAGGACATTTAATTGTTAATAGCCTTGCAAAGGTAGAGAGTACTGGTATAAGAATTTAGTACTTGATGAAATTTCTTACATTAAAACTGCATTGTTTTTTTAAGCCAGATTCATTACTTGGGGGATTATACTGATGTTGAATTTATATTTCTAAGCTATATTACTTGGTAGTGAGGAGAATTCATTAACAACAAAGTACAGTTAATATTGGTTTAAATGTTTGGCCTCATAAATCCACAGGATGTATAGTCCATTTGTGGGTAATTAAAACTAGACTATACTGAGTGTCTTAATGTGAGCTAATTTGGAATCTGTAGGTTGAGTGTGGCCACCTAGGAGTCTTCACTCACAGTAT